AACTTTTTTTTTTTTTTTTACCCTCACATTGTAATATATAGAAACAGTACTGCTGTGAAATATATAAGATGACTGGTGTTAGTACAAATTTTATTCAATGACTCTGGAAATGAATGTGCAGTGTCACTGATTTCTGTTGCTTTAATACTTCAAAGCTTTCCAGGACATATGTTTTCAATTGTTAAAATTCATAATCCTTGTGAAGTAAATCAAGGTAAAAATTCTTTTCGTCAAAAAGTAATTGATCCCAAGATTGATTAATGAAAAATTAGATCAAAGTGAAGATTTACTTTCTCCATACCCATTCTGAATTTACTGAAAGTCACAAGTGACTAGTTCCTGAAAAATCAAATTTAGCTGAATAATAGTTGTAGTTTAAAAATTTTAAATACAGCTCTATACCTCATCACCTTATGTCTCAGACTGCATAAAAGTTAACAAATCCAGTAAAAATGTATGCAGGTTAACCTGTTCTTAGTTTTTTTTTTAAGACTGTCTTAGATACATGTGATGTTATGGAAGGTCGACTGGGTTTATGTATGAGCACAACATGTGATTCAATGTGTGCATTTAAATCCCATTATTCAAGCATTCCTGGAATAAAACCCTTGCACAATCCGAGATTGCTGATTATGTGATGTGATGAAAAAGCAGAAGTTGCTGAGTTGATCATTCTCAAGCAATCCAGTGACATAAGACTGCATTTTTAAAATAAAGAATAGATCGTCTTTATTTTAATTTTTACTCTCTAGCCAAAACCCTTGTGGCTATGCAGGGCAATGTTTCAAGAACAATATATTAACTGTCTACAGAATATCAAGAGGTCTCAGATTAATTTTATTAGATTGATGAGGTTTATCAGGTTTTAATCAGTATGATAGCTTAATCAGCTTAATCAGCTATCACACTGTAGATAAATATATATTATGTACTTCTTTATGTGTCTGAGATTTTTTATCTGTCTGTATTAACATCAAAATACTCAAAATGGCACAATTTTAATACAATTTCTGAAAGGGTATGTTTAACAATGGGTTATGGATACTCTCACAAATAACATCTGCCCTCATAACATCCTGGGACAATAGTGGAGACTGAAAACAGCTCTCCTTTCCCAGAGCCAACAACTGCAGGAGAAAGAGGGATCAGTGGATATATTGGTTCCTTGGAAGTCCTCTCCGGATTAAAGAGAGGACAAGGATTACCCACAAGTTTGCTCTATAAATAATCTTTCTGTGAAGACATCATAAAAGAGTGGTCTCCAGTGCGTTCATTATGCCTGAACCATAGTTCAACACCATTAATTTGGACACTGGGTTTGCCTACTTCCTCTCATAAGTATTTTCGGAGACTGCTTATTATTTACTTTCTAGGTGTTAAGAACAATTCAAAAGATAAGTTTCATTACTCAAGAATTTTCTATCCTGAATGAAATAAGGTGGGTTTTTTTTTGTATGTATAAGGATTAAAAAGAAAAATTTTAATTTGGGGAAATTTAGCAAAAAACAGAGTAGAATGTTAATTTTGGAAAGTTAAAGGATAGATGGAATATATTCTGTGGAGTGGTTTAAAATTTTATAAGAGAATGTATGATGATTTTGAGACTAACTATAAGAAATCCTTCCATGATAAAATTTGATTGATTGAGGGAAAAAAGATAAGCGGGAAGGTTGACTACAGGGAACCAGAGAGAACAAAGGATTACAATTAAAGGAGAAGCAACCCATTGATACAATGGATCAGTACTATTTGACTATAGAAGACTATTTGACTAAAGACTGTTTGGGGACAAAATACCCAGAAATTACTTATAAATTTGTCTGGCACTATAACAGAAGAATCACAGATTTTATTGGATCTGAGGATTATTTGAATGTAGATGTGGATTTTAAAAATAATGCTAGATTACAAAAGTGATATGGAAAAAGATGCTATGGATCTGAAAATAGATTTTAAAATCCTATGTGATATGAAAAGAGTGCCGCTATTGATTCACAAATGAAACCAGTTGATGCCTTAATAATTAAAGAAGACAAGCAAATAATTCAGAAGAGTGCCTTGAAAAACTGTCTTATCCTGGATTTACAAAAGGGACATGTTAAACTAATGGAGTTGTACCTGAGGGGAGGCAATGAGAAAATGATTTAAAAATCAGCTTGAGAGACATTATTTCACAGGATTAAAGATCAAGAAAAGTAAGCAGAAAGAATTCAAGGTGAATTTATTTTATCAGGCTTATATATTGGGTTACTAATAGCTATTAATGAAATTTCATTTTGATCAGGACTGAATGATGAAGCTTTAAAGATCTGTGGAGAGAGTTATTTTGCTTTCTTTCTTAGAGAGTGTGGTAAATTGGAATACAAAAAGGATTTATTAAATTAAATTTTTTGGTAGCTCTTAACAGACTTTTTCTGATTAGGATTAGGATTAGGATAAGTCTCTTTCATTTGGATTATTGATAAGGGATGAGATATGGGAAAAAGAGATCTTTTTATTGAAATATTAGAGAAGGTGTTAAAATAGAGTTGCTGGTGCCAATTACCATTGTTAAACAGACCTGTATAACCATGTTAATGAGACTGATATCTCAAGCAGCAAGTGTTTGGTGCTAGAAAGCACCAGGAGTAGATCAGAAGTCAGAATGGTATAGATTACATAACCACCTCTGAGTGTGTCCTCCTCTAACCTATTCTGCAGTCCTCTGGAGTAGGGGTCTCCAACCTTGGCCACTTTAAGCCCGGTGGACTTCAACTCCCAGAATTCCTCAGCCAGCTTTTATGGGAGTTGAAGCCCGCCGGGCTTAAAGTGGCCAAGGTTGGAGATCCCTGCTCTGGAGTGTTATAGGGTGCTCTTCCATTGACTGTGTTAAAGTAAGGTTTGAGTCAAAGCAATTTCCATAACTGGAATGGAATTCAACTGCTAAGGTGGTAAAATATCATGATTGATTCTGTTAAAAAGTGTCTCTCTTTTTCTTTATACATTTTAATTTGTTCAAAACATAGACCAAAGGAACAGAAGTATTGTGGTGCATGACCCTGAGAATAAAAGTCAGGCCATTTATTTTCATCATTACTTTCTCGTTGCTTTTCAAAAGTATGTTTTTCTCATTGTTGACAGCAACCACATTTTTGATGGATAATTATTTTAATGGCAAGTAAAACACAATAACTCTTGCTGAGAACTGAAAGCAGGTTTGCGAAAGCAGCTTGTGCAATCTTCACTATAAAGTCAAATTCGATATGTTTTTTGAAACAGCTCTTTGTAAGCTGATGCTGTAAAAAACCAAACTTGGGGCCTCCTATCGACTGATATGAGTCTCCTCAGTTTCCTCTGAAAATCATTGACTCTGATTTTGTTTTGTTTTTTAAATATTCAAGTGGCTCAGGGAGCTGTGGATTTTCCCCCTTTGCTTGCTAAGTTGCATAGTTGTCTATGCATATTGAATAGAGGTGCAGAATACTGGATTAGTTTCATTAGATGGAATAAACCACTTTTTTTCCTTTGGAAAATGAATATTTCAGATTACCTAGCAAGTACTAACACCAGAAGGCAGAGATTCAGTAATTAGCTTGAATGACGATGCTTACTTACTCCAAGAACTAGAAAAGCCTTTTATTTTTTATTTATTTGTATGTTTATTTAAAAAAATTATATGGCCGCCCAACTCACAGTCATTCTGGACAACTTATAGAAAGAAAATCCCTTTCTCTGTGGGGATGATGCTCCACAAGGAGGAAGCCATCACCGAGAAGCCCCTTCATGGTCACTAGATGGAACTCCTTAAGAGAGGAATCTATAACATATCCTGCCTCCCTGCTCTCATGGATTGGGTAGATGTAACTGGGAAAATACAGTCCTTCAAATTTTAAAAAGAATCCAGCAACTGCCAAGTAAAATCGCAAGCCATAGCAATGGGAGCAATAAGTTTCAGTTCCTTATCTCTTTCTCCAGCTTCTATTAGGTAACTTTGAAATCTTCTCCATCCTCCATTTTGGACTGTGACAACAATAGATTCCCATGTATTGTAATTGTTAATCTGCTTTCAGGCTGTTAGCTGCTGACCTTGTCTAATATAGCTCTCCCAGACACTAGTCATTTATGTTTGCAGCATTTTACCAATAAGCATTCTAATATATATTTTTATTGTATCATTTCTCATTGTCCTCGAATAGACCAAAAGGTTTATTTTCAATATATTTCATTTTCCTCATTTTAACCTTTCTCCACTTGCTTTTGGTAGCATATATTCAGGAACTGCTTATAGCCTAATAAACATGTCATGTTAGAACCACATATGTGGGATGGGCAGCTGTATAAATTGATTGAACAAACTAGTAGTTTGAATGGTTAATGCTCAAAATGCATGTTTAAATAACTACATTTTTCCTAGAGTGGGAAGAATAGAACCCTAGACAATATTTTTATCTTGGTGTTATTGAATATACCGTATGTCAGAACACTTCATATATTTCTAAGTCCCATTCTCTTCCTCCTATTAAACATAAGTAGGTTATAGTTATTTAGCTCAAACAAGGTGCTTCTGTTTTATATAGAAAAGGTATATCCGTTCTTCCGAGAGCCAAATTGCCGGTATTCCACTATAACTATGTGCTGGATATCACAAACTAGATCAGGTAGTGGGATTATTGGGGAAAGTAAAAGGTTATACAGTACAATTCCACCAAATTCATTTCAAGGGAATGGACACTGATATCAATTGTACTTGGATATATGTCTAATTTATTCCTACAGTTTTTCTCTAGAAGTGGTCTGTATATAAATATTTTAGTTGGAAAATGTTTTTTATTTTTATTTTATATCAAGATTTATTTAAAAGAATATCAGGTTCTTCATTTTATTTTTAGAATGACCGAATGTGCTTTGTTTTTGAGTTACAATTTCTAGGAATGTGGTTTCTGATTAAAATTTTAAACATTTCAATTAATAATTATAACCTGCTAACATTCTCTTTTTTGTTTTTTTATATGAACCCAAAGGATTGTTCATCTTCAGAAGAATATAACATTGCTGCAATATTATTGCCACTGACAACTGCTTTTTATAGGGTAAGTTGTGTTTTTCTAGGAATTAGAATATATATATTTCATAACTGCACTGAAACGATGTGAAGGGTGAAGATTACGAGGGCATCATACCCAGAACTTTTTCAACTTATTTTTCTTATTTTTTCTAGCCAAATCTCTCAATCTCTTTCTGATACTGTTAGGTTTCCTGTCTTTCCAACATTGTGTAATTCTAAAGGGCATTATGGGACAAAAAGCAACTGAAAGGATTAGATTAAATTTCACATTAAATTTGACATGGTAATATTAGGCAGACATTAGGGTTGTTGTACTCTTTGTTTTCTTGTGTTCTACATACGGTAGAGTGGGAAACTGTAAAGAAGGATCCTTCTTTGCTTTCTTCCTTTCTTCCTTCCTCCCTCCTCCCTCCCTCCCTTGTATGATGAAGTGTTATAGAGAAGAAAGAATTTTCCATTCTATAAGGATACTTCACTTATATTCTATCTATAATTAGCCTTGACATGTCTAATCTATTTCTGTCAAGTGTTAGTTAGGTCTCATAAATCTAAACATCAATTAAATAAAATAGAAATAAAAAAGTTATAAATACTATAGTTTCAAAATAATAAAATTAAGACAAAAATGTACATCAAGAAGCACTCTTTGTTTTAATCCAGATTATATCTATAGAGCATATTAGGCAGCTCTACAAAATTAATGCGCCATTGGCATAGCCAGTCACAACAAATGACTTATCAAAAGCCAAATTTACAATGATACTCCCCACATCCTGTTCCTTCCCTCCCCCAGGTACTCCCTCAATTTACCCTTGACATTATTCTAAGTAAGATGGTTACATTTCCAAATAAAGTCCTGGGCAGAATCATCTATAGAATATTTTTTCTAAAGATTGGATTGAAATACATAGTGGATTTAAAGGCATTCTTGGAAGTAAAAGAGTTTGGTGGAGGATGCAAGAATCAGTTTGCTGTAGTGGCTAAGGTACCAGGATAGAAACTGGGAAACCATAAGTTTGAGTCCTCCCTACCCACAAATACAGGTGGATGGATGATCTTTCAGCCCTAGGAAGAAGGCAGTGGCAAACCACTTCTGAAATCTTGCCAAAAAAGTTGCAGAGACTTATCCAGGCAGTTGCTAATAGTCAACATCAGGCAAAAGAGAACAATTACATGCATCAAAGTATACTGGCTTCTAGTTTTCCCATTTAATTTTTTTAAAAATTAAGAACAATAACATTTTTAAAAAAATGGTGTCCAATGGCAAATATTGGGAAGACTTCCGGTTGCAGCACTGCGACAGAGTGGGGAGAGAAGAGCAAGCTCTACTCTCTCGTACCCAATCTGTGTGTTTGGAAGCCCCGGTGAGGGGCACGTAGACCCTGGAGGGGAAGACGAAGGTGTGAGGAAGCCCGAGGAGACATTTGACAGCGGCGGTGGTTGACAGCTTCGAGGGAGATCTCATTTGCTCTGACGTGTGTGATCGGCCATCTCGATCGCAGACCGAAACCGCGGTGCTTTAGCCCAATGAGGAAGACACCAGAGCATGAACAGCATTTTTGGCATCAATTGATGGATTGAACTTGGAGTGAAGGAGGCGGAAAGTGAAAGTCGAGGAGAGAAATGGTAGAGAGAGACAGCAGAACTGTGAGTCTTAAATAAAGGACGGAAGTCCAAATGGAAATGGCGATCCGGCAGTGAAAGCAAGGAACTCTTAAGACAGAGATCGAAGCCGATGTAGTTGATTAAAGTTTGACTGGTGTTTTGGACTGATAAATTTGGAGTTGATTTAGACTGATTATTTAGGAATTTGGAGTTTAATCTGACAGATCTGTGACTTGTAAAAGAAGAACAATGGTGGGAAAAAAGTAAGAGACAGGACTGAACCCAAGAACAGAAGTGACATTTTGAGATTATATATAGAGAAGAGAAGCTGATGTAACAGACTGTGACTAAACAAAACGTGAACGGACAGAGAAAGGAAAGTGATTGAACATTATTGGACTCCTTTTTACAGAATATAATTGATGAAATAACATTTTGATTAAGGTTTGTTTGAATCTATTAATAATTTAAAATAATTTAAATGACATGAAACTGTGAAGACTGGTGAAATACTATTTTGATGATTATTGATTGATTGATTATTAACAACTAATGAAGTAAGTAAGGTTATATATACAGTATAAGAAATGGAATATAGAACTGTTTAAAGGAAATTGAACTTTACAGTTAAAGGTAAAGAATATAGTTGATATACCATAATATAGTAATATAAAATAGCTGTATAAGAACAATTTATAGTAACCATATCTTATGCTATTATATCACACCCTTTCTCTTTTTTCTTTCTCATTTTGATACTATCCTTTCTGTCATCTCTTTTGCTCTCTCCCCTCTTTATTTTTTTTTAATTTTGGTGATTCAGTTAATTTCAGACTTTATAAAAGATTGAATCAAATTTGAATAATTTAGAATACCATAAGCTGGAGAGGTGAAAAGATATTATATTCTAAGGAAATTTACTATATAGAATTAATGATAAAAGGAAAATTAAATAGTGAATGGTATAGTGGGAAGACATCTACAACAAAGTTAGAAATATGACCAGTACTACAGCAACGGCCTTGAAAGGGAAAAAAACCGATGTCTGGTTCATCAGTGTCTATTGCATCTCCAGCGGGCCAAAAAACAATAGAAGGAATGCTGAACACGGAAAAAACAAACAACACGGCCAATATGCAGATGATGCAAGCAACATTAACAGCTATTCAAGAAACAATGCTTAAAATGCAGGAGACAATGGTAAATAACCATACAGATATGAAGACGGAAATGGGAGAAATGAAGGGTAAGATTCAAAATCTAGAGGAGAAGATGGGAACGATTCAACAGACATTGTAGAAGAATGAACAAAGAATAATGAATATAGAAACTAAAGCTGAACAAACAGATAAGAGACCGGAAGGGATGGATAGGAAAGTAATAGAGATGAACAGAGATTTAGAAGATTTGATTATCCATCTCGAAATAGAACGTGCAGCATTCTATTTGAGGATCCAAAATGTATTGGAATCCAAAGACAAAGATCTGGAAGCTATAATGTCCCACTTAATAGCAGAGGCATTGCAAAGGGACCAACAGGAAATAGTAAAAGAATTGGATGAGGTCTACCGAATCCACACAAACTACGCCAGATGAAACAAGCTGCCTAGAGAGGTCCACATCAGGTTCACCAGAAAAAATGTAAGATATATTGTATATAGAATCACAAAGGACAAGTCGATGGTGTATAAAGAAAAAGAGATCACAACCTTGAAACAAATCCCGAGGCGGGTAAGAGAGTTGAGAAAGGACTACAGATCTCTGGCGATACTCCTGAATAAACGAAACATCTGGTTCCGATGGCTAGTCCTGGAAAGAATGTTGTGACGTGGCAAGAAAGAAGAGTAAAAATTGACAGTATTGAAAAGGCGCAAGAACTTTACGATCAGTTGATAGAAACAGAGGAAGAAGCAAAGTAGAGTCAGAAAGCAAGAGTCAGGAGGACCAACAAGAAGATCAACAACAGGGAATACAGGAAATGGACCAAGAAGAGAGAGGCAAAGAAAAGAGAGAATACCCAAGGAGAGAAGGACTAAGAGTAAGACCCCAAAGAGAAGCAAGAACCAACAGAAGATTTAGGTAAACTCAGAATTAACAATGGAAGAAGAGATTAAATTACTCTCAATAAATATCAATGGATTAAACTCCCAGATCAAGAGGAAACAAATATTAACTAAACTAATTAAACAAAACGTCGACATTATATGCCTGCAGGAGGTACATATCCAAAAACAACATAAAAAGTATCTAGAATATCCTAAGTTGGGTGTATTATTTACAGCATTGGCAGATCAAAAGAAAAGGGGGGGTAGCAATTTATGTAAAAAAGGGATAAATGCAAAAAAAAATTATGCAGATGAATAAGGCAGAATTTTAATGATACAAATTAATTTACATCAAAAACAATTACTATTGGTGAGGATATATGCCCCTAATGATAACCAGAAGAAGTTTTATAAGGGACTATATGATAAAATAATTAGTGTAGGTAAAGAAAATATTTGCTTGATAGGGGACCTTAATGCCATTGTTGATGTTAAAAAAGATTATATTAGTACAGAAGGGATTAGGAAGGGGGGGGGAAGAGAATTCTACCCCCCAAAATTTTTGATTTAGCACAAGAGACCAATTTGGAAGACATATGGAGGAAGAGGAATCCAAACGAGAAAAAAATAATGTTTTACTCTAGTCCACAAAAGTCATGGTCCAGAATTGATATGGTATGGGTCAATGGGGCAATCAAGAAAGATATTAGTGAAGTAGAGATAATGCTCAATATATGGGCCGATCATAGCCCAGTTAAAATTACATGGAAAGGACATAATAAAAGGAAAAGGAGATGGATATTAAATTCACAAATAACAAAAGAAAAAGAATATATTTCAAGAATTAAAAATGAGTTAGAAATATTTTTTAAGATTAACTTTAAACAACATGCTAGTTTACAAAATTTATGGGACACTACAAAGGCCTTTGTGAGAGGCATATCAATAGTCTATATAGCTAAGAAAAATAAAGAAAAATGGAAGAAACAGAATGAATTACAAGAAAGGATTAAAAAATTTGAATGTGAGCTCCAAAAAGACCCAAAAATATGGAAGCTAAGAAAGAAATAGGGATGATTAGACATGAACTAAATTTGATAGATATTGAGGAAAATGCACGTAACTTAAACACTCTTAAACATAATTTTTTTGAATCAGCAAATAAACCAGGGAAGGTGATTGTCCCATAAATTAAAAATAGAGAAAAAGAAAAGATTAATTCAGCAACTTAAGGATGAGGAAGGGACAGTGTATTATCGGATGGAGGAGAAAAAGAGAATTGTGCAAAGGTATTTTGGCGAGCTTTATAAGCAAGAAGAAGTTATGGAAGAATACATCAGATATTACTTGGAGGGAAACGGTCTGAGCCCAATCT